TATTTGTTTTTCCTTGTTCGTTTTCTCATTTGAACGAGGACCACCCCAACATCTAATTAGAACGTGGAATACGAAGTATCCAGTGTGAAACCACAACAGAAAACCATTAATAGAATGCTCCCCTGGGTGGCCGCCATTTCGTGCAACCGAACACACGTGGCCGACAGAATGTATGGCTACTATTTTGTCTCCCAAACACAGGCAGCGGTACCTGGTCGTCGAGTGCCTGGAACGGATTCAGCTAGACACTCCTGCGAACACCGGTGAAGAGGGAACAGCTGCCCATAGTTCCCAACCACCTATACAAATGGCGTTCGGGAGATGTGAACTACCGACTGGGTGGAGCATTCGACACTTGAAAGCATTCGGATATTGGATATGGTTTTCGTCTAAAAACCCCTCAAACTGAGACCGGCTGTTGCCACAATTTCTATGGAACTATTATGGGCTTCTACCTTCTGGCTGGCCAGTCAAAAAAATAAAAATAAATAAACTCTCTCTCGATGGCAATTCCAAACCACCGAACCGATCAGAGGGCTTTTTGGATATGTTAGGCACACAGATCAGGGCTACCCGGGGATGTGACTCTAGAGGGGTTTCCATGGATATTGGGGGTACTTTTGCGCTGTTGAAATTTTTTTATTTTTCTGTACCTGGGAGATAATTGAATTGTAAGTTTCCGAACTCAATTATCTCTCAGGTACAGGGAGGAGTTTACTGTATGTATAAATTGAGAGTGCTTGCCTGAAATAAACAGATCTACTCCCAGCATCCAGTCTCGACTAATGTGTGGTTGGGAAAGGCGACACCAGTGATATTTACTTTCATGAGTGATAGAGCTACGTTACTTTAGGAAAGGGAGTCCGTGGCGACGATATATACTGGGTGTCCGCCACAATATGCATTGCACATTTCGTTCATGCTGGTTTAGAAACATATAGCTTCCCAGTGATGGTTATGTACACTAACAGTGAATATCCCCTTTATTTACTTAAATAATTGTTTTCGGGAACACAGGACACATACATCCTACATGTATTGACATCATCAGGTCTCTTCAAACTATGTACAATTAGGGGATAGCTTGCATGGACT